GCATCTATTGTCAGTATTATTAAGAAGTTCCAAAACATGAAAATATAGGTTATTCACGGTTCTCCATTCTCTATTGATATCTCGCAAACATTGAAACTCTGCGCATATCAATGTATTTGCGTGTTCATCCTTAGGAGTACTATTTATTTTCAATGGTGGGATGTATTTTTTCTTGATTGTTGGATCTGTCACAGATCGTCGGTAACCATATTGTTTTCAGATATCGCAGTCGAAAACCTATGCATTGTTATAATGTAAAGTCATACGTCTCTCAAATATTTCATCTGATTCAGGTTTTTAATCGTTCTGTATATTATATTTTTCCTCGCGGTGGTTCATTTATTGTTGAAAACATATTTTTTTGTTCGCTAAACATGCATTATCAACGTTTAATTGTTATCAGGTTTCCTGCTGACTATCAAGTTTCTATTTCTATATTTGTTCAGTCATATCGTGGACGTTATGTGAAATTTTTCGTCGAATAAATGACGTTTTTTTCAAAAATGCTGTTTGCGTGAATTATTTGTGATGGTAGTGATGTGTGATTTTGAAGAATCATGTATGAAAATAGGAGTATGGCGGTTTTTTGTTATATCTGAATTGTCTTCTCACTATTTTCATTCATTATTCAGATTTTCATCGAATCTAAGCCTGCTAAGGCGAAAAAGGTAAAGGTAAATGCTTTATAACACATTTTTCTATATACTGGGCGGTATTGGAATAAGCGTGAAAATTTCAAACCTCGAGACGTTTATACTATCGAATGACATATAGGTGAGGTGAGACCAATTTTACACCTTTATAGTTTCACTCTGTAACAATCCTAACGTTCCCTCTACATGAATTTTTGTGTGGGGGATGCTGAGTTAAATTATTTAGATTGTTTTAAAGTAGTTAACTTGATGTTTTTCTGTTTTTGTTCAATTTTAGGGATGAAATTTCCTGTTGATTTGAAGAATTTGAAAATATCTGATATAAGAATGTTATATATCGATGTGCTGAATACATATTATCATTTCAAAAACACCTCGTATAGTTGAAACATATATTTTTGCAGTTATGACCAAGTTAACGTTTCACGATCTATCAGGTCACGTGACTGATGTTCCTCATGAGGATTTTGATAAGAATTGGCCTACGATATATAAGATTTCTATATGACAGAATTATTTTAGGTCTGATCGGGTATGCTTTCATATTAGATCACCCGCAAGATGATACCTATTTCGCTTCCTGCGGATTACATCCCATCGCATTAAACACTATCCCTAGTTCCTCTGACTCTCAGATTACCAGTTTTGGTAGAGAGTTGTTCGACATATTTCATGAACCAACCAGAATACCTCCTATGGTGAAACACTGAGCTGTAATATGAGTTTTAGGTGTGAATAGTTGTTCGATATATTTCAAGGTGGACGGTGAAAGGGTGTTCTCTTCTAGTTGTTCGATGCAGAATGTTTAGCATTATTAGTATAGTATATTTGGAGCTTTCCAGATACCTATGATATCATTTTCATTGCTACCTCTGAATATGATGATATCTAGAGAATTTTCGGACTTTGCATATAGATGAAGAATCTTTCTTGTAGAGTAGTTGACAGCTATATGTTTTTCTGCGTGAAGGTTGCCATGTTCATATTCTCTGTATAATCGCTGATCCCTGACGTCCCAAGCCTCTACTGCCCCCCTTACATTTCGAGTTCTAGTTAATAGTTGTTTGATATATTCCGTGGGTTCTTTCTTTAGTGATGTTGTTAAATGAGTTCTGGTAAAGAGTTTATCGATATATTCTAAGGTGGATGGTGAATGGGTGTTATCTCTTCGTTATTTGATGCAGAATGTGTAGCATTTTTGGTCTTGTATATTTTGAGCTTTTCAGATATCTATAATATAATTTTTCCATGCTGTCTGTCAGTAAGTAAAATGATATATAGTGATTGCGTCACGCTAATTCCCCATTGATTTTGCTGATATATAGAGAATTCTCAAACCTATTATAGGTATGATAAGAATCGTTTTTGTAGAGTAGTTGACAGCAATATGTTTTTTCTGTCTGAATGCTGCCATGTTTATTTTTCTGTATAATCGCTAATCCCTAAGGCCCCTAGCCTCTAGAACCCCATTACATTACGAGTTTTGGTAGTGAAATTTTGACATATTTCGCTGGCCATTTACTCAGCCACACTGCCATTCACACCGCCATTCACCCCCTCATTCAATCATTTACCCAGCCACGCGGACATTCGCACCGCCACACCGCCATTCACCCCGCCATTTACCTTGACACACCGCCATTTACACCGCCATTCACCCTGCCACACCGTCATTTACCCAGCCACACTGCCATTTACACCGCCACACTGCCACTCACACCGCCACTTTGCCATTTTTGTAGAAAAGGATTACTTAAATAAAATAGTTCATTATGATATATAGTTGTTTTCGTATCCTTTTACTCCCCACATACATCATATTGCAAACATCATCTGTCATACGTCATATGTCATGTATTACGTGGCATCAGATATTTCTTGAACATCTGACAACATTGTAGCGTCATCGACTCCATAAATAATAATTTCCAGCATATGGCAACAATATGTGACGGTTATCGCTGCACACGACTCTTATCAGCGGAAGCTTCATCTGGTGTTGTGTGTATATTGTCGATAAAACTAACATAGAAATATTTCACCATAAATTTATTTCGATGTAATACCTGTGTCTTATCTCTAGAACGCATCTCTTGCTTTGCTTCACCTCTACAGATCCGTTGCAAAGATAAGCGCGTGCCAGCGATGGATATTATTTTCGACTCGAAGTTTCTTATCTCTGGAACGCATCTCTCGCTTTGCTCTACCTCTACAGATCCGTTGCAAAGATAAGCGCGCACCAGCGATGGATATTATTTTCGACTCGAAGTTTCTTATCTCTGGGACGCATCTCTCGCTTCGCTCTACCTCTACAGATCCGTTTCAAAGATAAGCGCGCGCCAGCGATGGACATTATTTTCGACTCGAAGTTTCTTATCTCTGGAACGCATCTCTCGATTCGCTCTACCTCGATAGATCCGTTTCAAAGATAAGCGCGCCAGCGATGGATATCCAGTTTGAATAGCATTAAAATAATTGAAATATTACGGTGGTCGGAATACCACATTGCGTATATACGCTGCCTCATGATGCAAAGGTCCCTGGTTCAATTCATCAGCGGTGACAGCTTTTTTTTAATTTATTCATTCACGATGGCGACGTGACGACGTGTGGATAATTTGAATTTCGCGCTGGTTTTCAGTGGGCGTGGCCTCCAACCAAATGCTGGCCTCTGATTGGCTAGTCGGGTCACGTGGTAGGTGGAGTGGAGGGGCTGGACTGGGGTGTCGCGACCCCTACTCACATGATTCCCTCTGATACAATGTTCCGTTCGCCATACATAGGGTGATAGTTTATAGAAGTACTCAATATATTATATCAGTCATTCTAGAAATCCTGAACTCAAATATTCATGATACGTTTTTCAATTGGTGACTCAAATCATCTTCTTGTTCGAATGTATCTTTCAACTGGAATTATATTCGAGAATTGGCCATTTCCGATATTACCAATGATTAGTCAAATTGTTCAACATAATTTCGATCTCATGAAGACAAAATCATTCACTCACCTGGAACTAGACATTCTCTACATTGCCGTGTTCTCTCGCTACATCGATCACATTTACACAAATCATCGTTTCGAATCACCTACCTGAACATAAGGATTCCAGCTCGATATAAACGATTTTTTCCATACTACGAAAAGTTCAGGAATTGATACGTCACCCTAGTACAGCAGAATGATATAGGTAATGAATATTCTTTATTAGTTCACCCAGTCCGAGATATGGATAATACCACTGGAAAGCATATTCACCGAGCTATTCAATGAGGTATCAAAAGTAGGGGCCTCTATCGGAATGTTATGCGTTGGGGTGGTTGTGACTGAGGGGGTCGGTGGGGGTGATTCATGAGACATTTTATTTTCCACTTCATATATTATATAAACAGTTATGAACCATTCGTGAGATATATCTCATTTGGTACATGAGTTACATCAATTCTAAGCATTCAAATCTTCATCACCCTATATATGGCAAACCAGACATTGTATCAGAAGAAATCATATAAATCCTCATGTTGATGATCAACATTCATAGTGTGTCAAATGATTGGCCGATTCTAGCCGTTTGTTTTCAAGTTTTCACTGATTAAGTAAAAATCGAAATTCTGATATTTTCAATATTTTTCTATTCCCATGAATATCACCTTGTCATGATGGAATGCAATACCCTGTATATGATATTATCATTTATTGGAATGACGCTGATATCTGAAACATATCAAACCATCAGAAATATCAGCCGGAAGCCATTTTCTGTACTGGATGTGCGGGGTCCTTAAATTTTTAAACTAGCTTTCAATGAAAATTGCCAACTTACTTTACTAAAGCCTATTTTTTCTACAAACGTCAAAAATGACAGGGTTCGCGCATTGATAACAAATTGCGAAGTGACACTTTTTTCAGTTTCATACGTCACCATTATACCTTGCACAAAACAATGCGCAAAGTAAAACAGTGCGCAAAGTACCTACTTCGCGCATTGTTAGGTAAAATATATGAGATATTTATATTTCAACTTAATGGTCTCCAATCGAGCAAACATCCACGGAATCATTTATTCCTGAATGTTCAATAATAACTTTGTTCAATCTCTTGAAGCGCACGATAGGAAATTCCTATTATGTTCGTGGAACATCGTGCATACCCAGGGAGGATAGGGGAAGGCGTTTTCAGCCAGTTCAACTCGATCACTAAAGTATCATTTCGCGCTCTAGATACGAAAATAACTATTCCTCAAGAACTCATATTTGTAACATAACTCCTTGTTCCACTTGCCCTTTCAAATATCATTTAATAATATAGGTATAATTATTGTTATGTGTCTATGGTTGTGGAACTCACCTCTTATTCTGGATGCCTTTTGTATGATGGCATTGATCTTTTTCATAGTTTCGACTCCCTCTTCATAGTTTTGTAATTTTATGTTGTGTCCGTTGATCATTTCTGAATTAATTGCATTTACTTCATCATAATGCTTGATGAGCTCCTTCCTAGAATGCATATTTCACTGAATTATTGCCATTACGATATTATTTGTTTTTATTCTACAATTACTCTCTCTTCTTCTCAAGTGAGACCACACAAGGTGATCTATGTAAGAATGCGAATAATAATTATTCAGTGGGCTATCCCACCGAATAAACTTCGAATAATTCAGAATTGAAGTGAGATTCTGTGGATTTAGAATCAGAATGAATTTCACTTCCAGTCCCAATTCGAAACTAACAGATCATATGGTGGAAATAGAGATGACTCTTTGGTCTCATTCCCTTCTGGAAATAGCAAAAAGACATTTCGGTTTTGCAGATCACAGAACAACACAGTAACATAGAGTGACAGAAATTCGAAGAAAAATGACCAAGCGGCGAATATTATCTCCTCAAGAAATATTCATTAAAAACCGTCGCTCTGGAATGATGGGCATCCCGAGTCCCTGCATACATAAAAATTCATCAAGTGATGCATTTGATACAAAATTCATCAAATGAATCATTCATTATTATATTATCAAGAAGGAAAAATAGCTTTAGAATAACATCACTCGAACTCTACGTTTCGGGAAACTCAACATAAGTTACTTCTGAATTGAAACATCCATTACAGTGTAGTTGCGCTCAGGTCAGCTGAGTTCCTAGACTTAAGTTCCTGTCAAATTGCAAAGCGCTTACCGTGCAGAACTATCCAGGTGAACAATATCGCCATGTAGCGGCCATTTCTTGTGATAGTTTCAGAATGATTGTGTCAGCGAGGACCCTGTGTTGGGAGCGTATGACGGGAATTGTCAATTCGATGAAAAAATAAAATATTGGGTGAAGTTAAATGTTTCTTTATCTGGATTTGATATTCCAGAGTGATAATCGTTGTGAAATATCTCTTAAACATTAACCCACCACATTGGCGCCCAACGTAGTAGCGGGAGATTTCAAGAATTTCTAGAAATTGGAAGGCAGGAGAGGGGAGTGCATCAGGTTGACATACAAGTACTGATTCTGAATTTTGCATGAATAGATGCAGCTGTGAACATTCTTCATGAGCACGTCTTTAGAGATCGGACGTATATTAGCAAAGATGGAACACGGTCCCATGGTCCCAAATTGGTTATTCTGGTTTGGAGATCGAACGTATATTAGCAATGATAGAACACGGTCCAATGGCCCTTAATTGATCTCAACTAGCGGTTTAATGGCAAAGATAGAATATGGTAATTTATATCGAACTTATAACTACTATTTATGTAAAACAATTCATATCACGCGGTATATGAATGTCTCTCTGACATTCGCTGCTTGACTGACTGACGCAGTTGTTCGGCCGTCTTATATATGAGATGCCTTGGTAGGCTTTGTTTCTCGAACTTTCTCGAATGATCTTCTTTTTGTTCCAGAAGCTTCTCAAAACAATACCTGTCTCTCTCTAATTGTTCCATCGATAGTTTCCAAAACATTCCAGAATCTTCTGTCACGTTATTTGTCACCGCGGCATATATTTGTAACAGAATCACCCTGTAGTGATTCTGTTCAGTTTATTTAGACGACAAAATGTGATGGTAGTTCAAAATGTTTGGTTCGAAATTTCAAGCAAGTGAATTGTCAACGGAAATAATACATCATTCACGGTACCACTTTGATACATAATATTGAGGCTAAGAGCTATGTTTCGCATCGATAAGATAAACAATTTGAGTTGAGAACAGACTACTCAGTCTGTGCAACATTGTATGGGCAATGAATTATGGGGCCGTTAAAAATATATATCAGAGATATGTTCTAGACTTGTCATCAGAAACTTGAGTGGGAACCGTATTGGAAATATATTGATGAGTTATCGAAATTGTCGGAAAAAAATATTCAATCCACACCTTTGGGGGCAGTATGGAAAAGAAAGTTGCAAAATATTGATATGAGTGACCAATGGAAATTATGGTAGAAATTGAGAACCAATTGCAGATCGGTAGGATGGGATTTTCTACTGTTTAGAGATAAACGACTTCGGGACAGTCGAACGAAGAGTTGAAAGCGGGAACCGGGCGCGAGTGGGCGCTAGGCCCCCTTCTGGGGCCCAGTGAGATTCGGAACATTGCGGGTTTTCCGGCAATTTTGGGAGTGTCGGATCATTTTGTTTTTGGGTTAGGGAGTGATTTTGGGTTCCTGGGAATAATGAATAGCGAGTCATAGGGTATCAGTTAACGTAGCGAGGCGCTGGCTTTCAAGGAAGCCAGAATTCTAGGATTACATAGGCGCTGAGCGTTGGGACGCTGGGATTTCTGGACGTAGTGTTATTTAGGTATTCAATCAACATCTGGGAACGCGCTGTTAGTCTCGGGTTGAAGTAATGGGCATTGAGAGTGAAGAATCGTAAAGAATGGGACTTGTTTCGAAGTTTTAGATGGGAAATAATGGAAATACTTGGGTTATTAACTTGGGCGATTTTTAGGGTTACATTTTAGATATAATGGGTTATTTAAAGGCAGTATTTCAGTGTTCGTTCGATACGTTGTGACTGTTGAGGTGAAAAGTGGAACTTTGCTCATCAAAACGATCATCAGGCTTTCTAGGGGCGAATATTGAGGCGTCGCAGTTTCAGAATTGGTCATTCTGACTTCACCGGTGAGTGTTTGGATTTTATCTGGAATTAAAAGCGTATTACAGGGTATTCTATATGGCCAAGATTAGGGATTTGCAATATTGCTTGAGACGTCGAGTAAAACCAGGTTTCTTTCATGTTTGTGAAGTTTCAGAGTGGTACAAAGAATGAGTTTGAAGGTAGGTTCCTGTCTTTCATAGTTTCCAATAGGTTTTATAAGCGGAATTAGGAAGCGATAGAAAATCAGTTTTCTGTTACACTCTTGTTTGGGTTTATAAGCGGAATTGGGAAGGATTCATTAGTTTTCAGAGTTTTAAATTGAAATAGGCTTCATTCGCGGAATTAGGAAGGGATCAATAGTTACCAGAGCTTTAAATTGGAATAGGTTTCATGTATGGAATTTGAGATAAATTTTGAGACAGGTTTCTACCAAATCATAAGAAGAAATAATTCACGTATGCAAGAATTTTGGGTTCTCATAATTTGATTACCGAGAAATACCTAGGGTCGGTATTTCTCGGATTTTTGTCAATAGTGTAAGTTGAAAAGGTCAAATTTGTATAACCATTTTATTTTGATTGTTTCGCTCACTGAGCATTTTGTTGCATTTTCATTTGTTTTTCTTATTTAATAGATTTTATGTAAAATTGAAAGCAATGTCTTGTTATTGAACTCGAAGATATCAACCACCCCCTGAATACTATACATCAAAGACCAGGCATTGATGCCCTGGCCGAATCTACGATTTCTGGAGGAGATGGTGTCTTGTTAAACCAGTATATCATGGGTATGGAGCATAGTATTCTAGCATGGGGCTAGGAAGTTATGGATAATCTACAATTGAAATTTAACATCTTCCAACGATCATTTGAACAGGGTGAACGTTGTGTATGTACACAGTAAAAAAAATAGAGTGAAATTTAACACTATACCTGTTCCCAGGAGGACCACTAAGCTTTAGAGTGAATGATTTAACTCTATAGTTTAGTATATCATAGTGTGATTTTTTCAATTCAATTAGTGTAAATTTTCAATGCAAGCACATTGAAACTTACTCTTTTCATTTCTCTAAATATATTGAATAAACACACAAATAGAGTTGAAAGAAACAATTTCGAGAGTGAATATTCCACTCAAGACACAAGCTAGTGTCAATATCATCACTTTAGAGTGAAATTCAATAACCGAATATTACATAGTCACAAAAGTTTAGTTGTAATATAATAGTAGGGAGTAGATTCAACTCTATAAACAGTGTCGGATCCACCGGAAATTGATTGAATTATTCACTCTACGTGGATGTCAAATTGCTCCTGCATTGTTCAAATTGACACTACTATTTGTTCAGGTGCTAATAAGGAGTTATCATTCATTCATCATTTCAGATTGATATAGAACACTAGTTGAGTAAACTAGTCACTACTTCCTGTTGAGATTTCATTCAAGTTAAATTAACCAATCTTTCACATGTCACAGTATATATAGACCCCCGACAGACGTTCAGCGGCGGAGTCTCCGCAGCGCCACCTGTATGCAGTGGCGAGAATTGACTGATGAGAAGTAGTGTGACTTTATAATATTTTAATCGTTTGATATTTGAAAAATTACTCGAGTCCCACTAGACTAATTAGTTAACCTATATCTGTTTCATAAATCGGTCGAAATAATAATTCGAAACGGAAAAAACGGAAAATAACTGAGATAGGTATACGGAATTACGTCCATAACTCAATGTTGAAAAAAATTTCTCAATACGCGGGTATAGTAAAAAAGCTACTTGAAGCTAATATCATGATCATTATATCATCGACACCATAATCTGTATTACTTATTTCACTATCTATAGTAGACTGAACGATCTGAAACTGTATAGATTGATATTTCATCGTATATAGATTGAATTGAACAATGATAGAGTGTCAATTTAATCGACAAGAGAGAAATATTCAAGTTCACTAGTGTCAGTAGCCACTAGTATGAATTCAATTCCAATTGTTTGTGACTTGAGTTATCTGAAATGATATTTTATTGAAATTTCAAGAATATAGAGTGAATTCAATACGAGAATAGTGAAAATTCGATCTAGAATTAGTTTCAAAGGAGATAATCTGCGAGAAGTGTAGTAATAGAGTTGATTGCAGTATTATAGTGAGTTTGTCAGAGTATTTCAACTCTAAAAACATACTCTACGGATTTCACTCGAAGCGGTTTTTTACTGTGTACCTACCTGTTCTGGTGAATGCTGCCTTTTTACAACAGGTCGCGAGCACGATGACCGACCCTGGAGGCAAAATATTGAAACACAACCTTATTCTTCTGTAAATTATTGAAACACAACCTCACTTTTTTATTTGGTTACAGAGGAATCAAAGGATTTAAATAGTTTTTCACAATATTTTGGCATACG